AAGGTCGAAGTAGTAGGAGTCAAAAATTGACAAAACTTAATTGGAAAATTCCAAATATATACACTGAAATGATAAAGAAAAATGAAAGAATCCAGAAAGTTTTAAACAAAGCTGCATTGATATTAATGAAAGCCCTTTCCTGTTGATCATTAAGGTTTCGTTTTTTTGTCCATTTTGTTGCATTGTTACTGAAATATAACACTCCCCGGCATTCTTTTCTTCCAGCTATCCTAGTATACATTGGATTCATGACCGATTCAATGGTCACCTAAGAGATTACGGGCCCAATATGTAATACTTTGCAGTTGCAAAATAACCGTTAAGTTAACGGTTAAAATAACTCCTTTTCCGTTGAGAGATCACGCAACGTTCTTTTTTCCTTCAATGAGTCGCTTCCATGTGTGTATCTGTTCTAGAAGATGCTGAAATCTCTAGATAATAATGATAAATAATGATACTCAGTAACAGCATTCACAGAGCAATATGATCTTGAAGATTGTTGTAATCCGAACTGTTCATACAAAAATCACGACTGATGTCAAGAAGAAGGCATTATCAATACCTTCTTTCATTAACGGTTAAATACGTGCTTACGTCTTTTCGTTGCATCTTCCCAGCCGGTGAGAAGTTTTGCAGAGACTTACTTCAGAAAACTTTTACAACATTTTATGTTTAAAGAAAGTTTGTATACTTTGTTTGGGTTTCGTTCTAGTCTACTATGAAAAAATGAAGAAAACTAATAAAAGTTTTTTTTGCTACCATGATAATTCTTCGTTCGATTCCCTTCTATATTTCTTTTGTTTCACGTTGTAATTATATTATTAACTGCTTTCTAATTAATTTACGTGTTATTTTAGTATCATACTGATCAAGTTTATTCTCATTGGATTCAGTTTAAGGGGAAAAGGCTCTCAGAATTTCGAGATATTATAGATATGATCTAATGTACAAATTCGTGTTTTAAAGCTATATATTTTTCTGCACGTTTAAGCTACCTGATAGTCTTTATTCTTTCTCCGCTGCAAGTACTGTACTTTAATATTCGTAAAGGTTGAAAATTCGAACCCATCCCCTAAGTAAGGGGCAAGTGTCGTCGATGAGAGGAGATTTTTCTCAAACCGTTGCT